CAAATTAAAAAGAGAGAGGAGGGTAGCCTAGAGAGGTTAAGGAGTTGGCAAGAGTTGACACTAAGCCGGGTGGTGGTGGCGCACGCCTTTAATCCCAGCACTCAGGAGGCAGAGGCAGGAGGATCTCTGTGAGTTCGAGGCCAGCCTGGTCTACAGAGACAGGCGCAAAGCTACACAGAGAAACCCTGTCTTGAAAAACCAAAAAAAAAAAAAAAAAAAAAGAGTTGACACTGGTTCGATGACATACTAGTATTCGTGACATTTCTCACAGTCCCTCCAGCCAGTGAGGACCCATCTGAAGCTCTCTCACTGTTCAGAAGTAGAATTTGCCCCATGATAGGAGTCTGGCTTCAACTCATCCCTAGCTCAGGTGCAGTCCAGCTGAAGCCTCCCTTGGACCCAAGGAGTTTACCTGCCCTCAGCCCATCTCCCTCTGCAGATCTTCTTGCCCGTGTCGTCAGACTGCCTTCTCCTGGCTTCCAATGCATCTTCTGTGGCTTTCAATGCTTCCTGGGAGCTGCCAGGATCCCTGCCTCTCATCAGCATCCCAGTGAGTGTTTCTGTGCAGCCCTGGATCTCCTTCCCCAAACCCTTCCTCATCAGTCTGCCAACTCATAAGCTAAAGAACACTCCATCCAAGGCAGTCATAGCCAGTGCCTGTTTTCGTGGATGACATCCCAATTTGCCCGATAAGCCCCGTGCTCTGGGAGAACAGGAGCCCTGGGCATTCTCCCAGCACTACTAGGGGATACAGCTGACCGCTTTGCCCCACCCCACAGTACTCCATGCATTGCTGCGTGCTGGGTTCCCTCTCCTGCTCCCTTTTTCTGCACATGAGCTTCGAACTGAAACTACTGTTGCTTCTGCTGTGGCTGGTGGCATCTTGTTCCCTGTTTCTGCACTCCCACGCCTGGCTGTCCGACTGTCTCGTCGCCCACCTTTATCAGAGCCCTTTGGACTCCAGGTACGTACAGCCACAGGACACATCTGCTCAAGCCCTCGGGAGCATGACTGAGACAGGACACAGAGCTGTCTCCTTGCCTCACAGACTCAACGTACCCACAAGGCGAAAGGGGAGGGGTTCTGGGGGCTCTTGGGGCACCGGGAGCAAGAAGGAGGCCCTCAGGAAGGGGCAGACAGGAAACCATCTTGATTCTGATCTCTCAGGCCGGGGGTGCTGAAGGAACCCAAGCTGATGGGAGCTATCTACTTCTTCATCTTCTTCTTCACGCTCCTTGTCCTGGCTCGGCAGGTATATCTCTCAGCCCCGTCCTCCAGGGCCTCCCTGTGAATGGCTGAGGCTGGGTTCCCATATTGTTAACTTGTCTGTCTCATCTCCAGGGCTGAGTGCAAGTAATACTTGGCCATTGGAAACTTCCAAGAGAGTGTTCTGACTCTATTTCTTACTTCTTCGCTCTCTTAAATCCCTCTCATTCTCACCATTACCCACCCACCCCACCCCAAACCCCACACACACACTCCCAAATCTAAGAAAAACCACAGTTATGGGGGAAAAAAAAAAGTCTGCTTCTCGTTCTGTAGATCCTAAAGTGAAATAGATCTTAAAAGCCATCTCTCTCCAGGACAGTTCTACCTTAAACCTTGTCTCTAAGCTGGATGTGGGGTGTTGGGGGCACTGCTCTATCACCCTAGAATGAGTATTACTGCCGCCTGGACTTCCTGTGGAAGAAGAAGCTGAGGCAGGAGCAAGAAGAAACTGAGACAATGGAGAACCTGACCCGGCTCCTCCTGGAGAATGTACTCCCGGCACACGTGGCTCCCCAGTTCATCGGCCAGAACCGGCGCAATGAGGTGACTCCCAACCCCACACTCCAGAGGCCCAGGTGCCACTGGGACTGAGCTCGGATGAAACTCTTGGGTCTTACCCCACACTTTCTGGGGTCCCTAAACAGTGGGTCAGGTAGTCACCCAAGCCCCTGCCTTGTCAGAGCATAATCTTGGGCTTGGTCCTTAATGGCCACAAAATTTGTGCTTCAAGTTTTTGTTTTGAAGGAACATCTTTTGGACTGATATCTCAGTGGTAGAGCTTGCCTACCATGCAGGAGGCCCATGGCTGGGGCGTGGGGTGGGGAAGGCAATCATTGTTCTAAATCATGGCTATATCACACCTTTCAGAAGCCCTAGTCAAATGGTGGTGGGAATTGTCTGAAGAGCAGGTCACCCATCCCTCTAGCTCAACAATATCCAATATGGTAGCTGATAGTCACATGTGTCCATTCAAACAAATTTCAATTAATTAAAATAAAAATTCAGTTCTCTGGGGCTCAGAGGGTAAAGAATGCCTTACAACCTGGAACATACATAAAGGTGGAAGGAGAGAACTAACTCCTGAAAGTTGTCCTCATCTGACTCTACACATATGCTGCAGCATGTGTACACACACACACACACACACACACACACACACACACACACACGCACACAAATCAATAAACTTGCCTATTTAAAAAGTTAATTCCAGGGCTGGAGAGATGGCTCAGTGGTTAAGAGCACTGGCTGCTCTTCCAGAGGTCCTGAGTTCAATTCCCAGCACCCACATGGCTGCTCACAACGGTCTGTAACTCCAGTTTCAGGGAACCCAACACCCATGGCAAAAACACCAACGTACATAAAATAGAAATAAATACATTATTTTAAAAAAATTAAATTTCAAAGAAGTAAACCATTTTGCTCCCTCCTCTTCACACCCTGAGCTGTAGTTGCTCTCTGGCTCACTCCTCTTCAAATGTATTCCCTTGGGCGAGGCATGAAGCTGCCGGCCCAGGCGCTAGGCGTCTCAACCCTCCCCCTGCTCACAGGACCTCTACCACCAGTCCTACGGATGTGTCTGTGTCCTCTTTGCTTCGGTCCCGGACTTTAAGGAATTCTACTCTGAATCTAACATCAACCATGAGGGGCTGGAGTGTCTGCGGCTGCTCAATGAGATCATTGCTGATTTTGATGAGGTGCGACTCCAAGACCCTGCGTCCTGCATCCTGGATTCTCCCACCAGCTCTTCCTTTCACTTTGCTTTCCTGACCATCCAGCCAATCCCACTCCCCAACCTCTCCACCTACCCTGTCCACTGAGCTTTCCCTTCATCGCACATTGCCAACCATCTCCTTCCCACCACCACCTCCACCTCCTGCTCTACAGACTGGCCCGTTAGCCTGCAAAGGCCTGGGGCAGGCTTTCTGGAGAAGGGATAGTGAAATCGAGAGAGAGAAAGGAGACACAGCCTCTTCTCTCTACAGCTGCTCTCCAAGCCAAAGTTCAGCGGAGTAGAGAAGATCAAAACTATCGGCAGCACCTACATGGCAGCCACAGGCTTAAATGCCACCTCTGGGCAGGATGCACAACAGGTACGGCAACCCTTTCCTGTCAACCCTCCCCAGGGCTTCTATTGGTGGGCTTCTGCAAGAGTTGGACTTATTTCTGTGCCCATCGTGGTGGGTGGACCCGTTTACCAGGATGCTGATCGAAGTTGCAGCCATCTGGGTACCATGGTGGAGTTTGCAGTGGCCCTGGGATCTAAGCTGGATATCATCAACAAGCACTCTTTCAACAATTTCCGCCTGCGCGTGGGTGAGGGACCTCCTTTGCTGGGGCAATGTGGTACCTCCTCTCCCCTCTCTGAGACCTTCATTAGCTGCTCTCCAGCTCATCCCTAGACACACACACACCCAGACTTACTCCCTTGGCTGAAGCATAAAGTTGCTAGTCTAAGAGCTGAGAGAGGCGCCCTTCCCTTCCCTAATCTACTCTCTTATAAAACCACCCAACCAGCCGGGCGGTGGTGGCGCAGGCCTTTAATTCCAGCACTTGGGAGGCATGAGGCAGGCGGATCTCTGTGAGTTCGAGGCCAGCCTGGTCTACAAAGCAAGTTCCAGGAAAGGTGCAAAGCTACACAGAGAAACCCTGTCTCAAAAAAACCAAAAAAAAAAAAAAAAACCACCCAACCTTCCATCTCCCTTAATCTCCTTCTTCAAAGCCTGCCCCCATCAAAGTCCCTCATGACCACATTTCTTACCAGGGTTGAACCACGGACCAGTAGTAGCAGGAGTGATTGGGGCGCAGAAGCCACAATATGACATCTGGGGGAACACAGTGAATGTGGCCAGCCGCATGGAGAGTACAGGGGTTCTTGGCAAGATCCAGGTGAGAGACCTACGTTGGAGGCACGGGGGAGGGGACAAGGATAAGGCTACCCTCTGCTCCTTTACCCCTCCTCCAACTGCAGGTGACCGAGGAGACAGCGAGGGCCCTGCAATCCCTGGGTTACACATGCTACAGTCGGGGCGTCATCAAGGTCAAAGGCAAAGGGGAGCTCCGTACCTACTTCCTGAACACGGACCTCACAAGAACTGGGTCTCCCTCCGCGCCCTAGGCGCCTCAGCAGCCCTCCTCTACCATCTTCAATAAAACGTCTACGGGGCACCTGAAGCCTGGTGGGAATCACCCCCTCGCTCCTCAGTGGCACAGTTTCTTCCCGAGCTGTGTTCCTAGGCCTCTCGTTCTGGAATATCTTGTTTTACAGGGTGGGGAAGGGGAGGGTGGCTTCTGAGAGACGGCAGGTACTGATGCACAGAAATTCTGGAAGATGGGATCTGGTGCTCCGGTCCCCAGTGAGACTTCCTCAGGAGGTGGAGAGAAGGGAAACCATCTCCAGGGACTCTCCTCAGAGGATGTTAGGTTTACACCATCAAGGATGGTTACCACGAACTTCTGGGAAGACACTTCACAAGAACCGGTCCCCTGAGTCATGACTCTGGAGGGATGGGGCCATACAGCGAATTCTTTTTGAGTCAGCAGCGCGTTTTTCCAAGTGGGATCTGTAGGTTCCCTCTTTCAGAATTAGGAGTGTAGGGCTGTATCTACTCATATGTTCCTTCCAAAACTGTAAAGCACGGGGAACTAAAGAACTGTTGACAGGGACCCCACCAGACTGGTCCCTCTCTGGGACCAATAAACCACCCCCAGTGCACCACAATATACACCTCATTCACAGGCTTAACCTGATTTCAGACTTTAGTTTTAATGGTTAAAGCTGCCCGCAGAAGCCAGGCCCGAGCATGCGGACTGTTTGCCCTGACTCGCCCCACCCCTCCCTCTGTTCCGCTTGAGCCCAGCCCCCAACCCACTTTCCTCCAGGTACAGAAGTGGGTCAGGCCAGAGTCAACGAATGTCTTTGCACCCAGCCTACTGCAGTTCACGTCACTCAGGAGGGGGTGGAGGAGGTCATCAAGTTGTCAGAGGGGCCTTCCTCAGGACTGGCGGGTGTGGCCTTCTGGGTCTGGCCCAGGGTGCCCCCGCGGCGGGAGCTGTACCCTTCGGAGGCAGTGGCCTCCAGCAGCTTGACTACGAAGCCCGCGCCGGCCGAGCGCAGCAAGCCGCCGCCCGCGCACGCGTACAGCACCGGGTTCACACTGCTGCTCAGGAAGGCCAGCGCGATGAGCACGTTGCGGGCCAGCTTCAGACGCTGCCCCACGGAGTCGTCCTTGTCCCAGCCCGCCAGCGCGCGGCCGGCTTCCACCAGGTTCACCAGGTGGTAAGGCAGCCAGAAGGCGGCGAAGGCCAGGATGATGAGCACCACCAGGCGGCCCGTGCGGCGACTGCGGCGGAAGCGCCGAGCCTGCAGCCTGCGTCCGATGTCAGAGTAGCTGGCCACCACCGCCAGGAAGGGCAGCAGGAAGCCCGTGGTGGTTTCGAAGAGCAGATGGAAGGCACTATGCCCGTCGCTAGGGTAATCCGAACGGCAGACCAGAGTCCTGTTGTACCGTTTTACTGTACGGTACGCAAGGACCGGTGTGGCCAGCAGAAAAGACACCACCCAGATGCATACCAACACCCATCGAGCAATCGTCTTAGTGCGCATCTTCTGGGACACAAAGGGGCGAGCCACTGCCAGTGAGCGGTCCAGACTCATAATGGTGATAAGCAGGACGCTGGCATACATGCTTACTCCACAAATATAGTGGCACAGGCGGCAACCGGTCACTCTAAAACTCCAGGTGCGTTGAGACAGGGCGTGTAGGAAAAAGGGAGCAGTGAGCAGCACAGCCAAGTCGGCCAGAGCCAAGTTCAGCACCAGCAAGGCCGTGACAGAGCGCTTCTGCATCCTTTTCAAGATGCTCCACACCACAAAGCTGTTGCCAGGAAGCCCCACAGCCAGGGCCACAGACAGTAGGACAATAGGCAGAGACAGAGACATGCCCCCGGGAGAGGAAGATGCTGCAGGAGATGTAGTATTGGGAGCCATCAAAAGGACCTGGAGAGTAAAAGTGGGCACGCCCATGAGGAGAAAGCCAAGGGATTGATTCTTGGCACCTCATCACACTAGCATGAGTACTCTGATCTCCAAAATCAGAAGTTTCCGAGGTACCTCCAAATATATACATCACTGTCAACCTCGTTGTCTTAAAGGGACCTGGTTGAAGAGAAAGACTAATTTCCTAACTGGGTGGTGGGGCCCCTTCTTTGCCACAGACCCAGTTGCAAAAGACACAGCAACAACTGCCTTTCCAGAGCCTGTCACCCTCTTTCCCTTAAGAGACCCCGGAACCCAGCACCAGCCTGGGAGACTTTCCTCTCCACTGCTGCATCCCATGAAAGGCTAGCTCTTCTGTCTCCCGAGAGGCCTCTATCCACTTAGCCCTGCGACTTTCTTCAGTCACCTACCCACTCTCTCTAGAGCGGACCAGCATGTACCAGGAAGAACTTGGACAGAGAGGGGTTAATGGACAGGCCCCGAGGGCAAGTCCTTTTGCAGTGGTCAGGCTGTCTTTGGAGATTCTGTCTCAGCACCTCTCCAAGCTACACCCGAGACACACACATACACTCACACACACACACCACTCACATACACACATTCTCACACAACACACTGACACACTCATGCACACAATCTCTCACACAACACACTGACACTCAAACACAGACACACACACACACATACAACACACTGACATACACATACACACACACACACACACACACACACACACACACACACACAAAGACACATACACCATCCAATTCCTAGGATACTTACAAGGTTTCCTAGATGCTGCTCAGAAGCCAATGCCACGTCCAGGGTCAGGGCAAAGTCATCGGACAGACAATTCCTGAATCGGTCCTAGTGCTAGGGTCTTGGTCCCACTTCTAAGTCTGTCAGCTAAGTCAGCCAGAGAGGAAGTACCGCAGAGCAGAGGAGGGAAGATGCATCTTCCTGAGGGTGAGGCTGAAGAAAACCCACACCCTCCTTTACTGTTCGAGAGGGACAATCTTTGTGTTCCAGAGCGGCCCGGAAAGGAGGAAGGCTCCCTGGGTGGGGCTAAATGAGAAGTACCCAGGAAAGGGCAGTGAGCTAGGAAAGAGGGGTGCCAGGAGTGAGTCGGCTGGGGTGTGGTCTGAAAATGCAGGTCTAGACTGGAGAGGTGAACAGAGTGATGAATTATATCATAGGAGGAGGAAGCAAGGCTCAGAATGAGACTGCTAGCTTAATAAAAAATATTATCTTTGTACTTCACGTGGTCAAGGCCACCCTAGGCTGCATGAGATCGAGAGAGACCGATCCACACACAAGGGGCGGGGGGATATCAAGGAAAATGTGCAAAAAGTGAATGAAGGCGGAAGCAACCTATTCTTGACTTCAGGTCAGACCATGATCTTGGTGTGGATATAGGCAAAAAGCCTTCTCCAGCACCTCCCATTACAGGTTAACCAACTCTCCATTCCTTTGGAGAGAAGCCAAAGTCTAAGTGATCTCCTTCATAGCACAAAATGTGGATTTCTTCTCCTTCCCCTACCCACTTGACCATATAGTCCAACCCTGTTGGACTCTCTCAGTGGGTCCTAGGCAAGGACTGGTACCACTCCTTTCCTTCAGCCTTACAGCCTTGCACCGTCAGTTTCAACGTGGACGGAGAAAGTGGAGGCTAAGCTAGGCTGTGCTGAGAAGGAAGAACAGACGCGGTGGCACGGGAGCCGAGATGCCTCCTCACTCCAGCCCTACCGCAAGAGCATCTAAGAATTTGGAAAGAGTTGGGCGCTGGTGGTGCACGCCTTTAATCCCAGCACTCAGGAGGCAGAGGAAGGAGGATCTCTGTGAGTTCGAGGCCAGCCTGGTCTACAGAGTGAGTTCCAGGACAGCCAGGGCTATTACACAGAGAAACCCTGTCTCAGGGGGAAAAAAATTAAATAAATAAAAAAGAATGTGAACAGATAAACAGCCTCCAAAAGCCTCATCCTTCGACTTCCCTCGGTGAAAGGAAGGACGCCATCTCTCTTTGAAGTCTCCACCAAGAACACATTCCTTCAGACCGCCATGAGTCTTACCATTTGACTTTCCACCTGTCGCTTGTCAGGAAAGATGTAAAGCGTAACAGTGGCCGTCGAGGCCCCTTATGCTTCCCAGTGCCCTCACTTTTCTCACGTTGGGAAAAGCCAGATCAGCGTTGACCCAGTAACTGTCAAGCAGAGGATATGATGCAAAGGAGGCCAAAACCACAGCACGAACTGAAGGCAGAGTTGAGGAAGAACTCTGACCACACCGGGTGTGTAAGGTGGAGAATTTACAACAGAGGAAGTTCAGAAACCTCTGCTCCAGAACGCCAGGACAGGAAGAATTCTGTGTTTATGGATAGAAGCTTCTGGATCAGAGCTCCAGGGCCACCCAGAGCCCTTTCCAGCAGAAAGGGTTGTCTTTACACTTTTCCTCAGGCTGCTCTATCTTCCTTGGGGAGTAGTCTTCCTACTCCAGAGACTAGATACTCTAAGCATACTTCCTCCCTAGTTCAGAGGTCACCTCTACCCCGGTTACGGTGTTCCTAGAGTGACCCCGGAGACTGGCTTTTCTTTTTTTCTGTTGGCCTCTGCCTGAAGAGTGAGAAAAGACATTGAAGTAGAGCCCAGAGTAACCACTTGGGAGGTCAACTACCTCAGTTTGCTGAGGACCGATGGGTCTAGGAACAAGAAATTTTGAGGGCTAGTAAGAATGTTCTGAGCCAGCTAGGATGGACTGGTCCTGTGTGTGTCCATGATGTCCCCTAAAGAAAAACAAAAACAAAAAAACTTGCTCAAAAAAAAAAATTGACTCAAAAGAGTCATTCAGGTTTTGGATCTAATAATAGGGAGATCCCAAAAGATGGAGGCTGGAAAGTAGTGGAGAAGGGTTAGGAACGTCTAACATCTTGCGCAGAGGGAAGGCAGCAGAGAGAAAAGAAAAGGCACCACCTTCCGGAATGGTTCTTTCAGTTTTCCAGCTACTCCAGCCATTTGCCATACCTCCTCCTTCCTCATCAATCCTCAAACTTCCTCTCATGAAGAAAGTACTGGCTCCTGGACTTCCTCACAGGCCTGGTGACTTTGGGGGGCGGGGAGTAAGCAGAGGGTCAGAGGGAGAGGTGGAGTCTTGTCACCCCAGGCTCCTACATCACGGTCCAGTCATGTGCCTCCCCCTCACTGTGCTGACCCTAAGACAAGCACAACACTTTCCTTTCACAGGGCACAGATTTACTTCCCCTTGGAGGCCAGTTTCTTCCTCCGAAATGCTTCTAAGAATGAATTTTATCCGCCCTCAGCCAAACTCCACAGTGGTTCCAGAGACAGGCCTGGGAAAACAGATAGCCTGGCTGGGGAGGCAGGGCAGAAAGCCACTGAAGGCTGGCACTGTCGGGTTCTGGCCCGTCCCAGTCAAGAATGAGGTGACTTCAGTACAACACAGGCATGATGGACCACTAACAGGAGCACATTTAAGCCACACGTTAATGGCTTCCCAGTGTATTTCACACAAGTAGCTACTGGCAGCATATAAGCAATTCTGGTACATGGATCCAGGCCATATTGCAAGCACCAAATATGAACATAGGCCACAGTCACCTTCACAATCCCATGTCTTGGAGTAACCTGGGCCTATAGAGTAATCCTGTCCAGTCAAACCAAAACTGCAATCAGAGAAGCATCCCCAAGTACCCTTGAGTTCCAGGAACCATGGAAAGTGGTAGGGGAGCCCCGAGGTTTGAGGTTCTGGCTACCATTCCTGACTGTCCTTCTCCATCCTACCCCCGCCTCCAGGATCTCCATTGCCCCTGCCCTGCCCCACTACTTTCAGCCTAGGTGTAGTTCGGAGCTCCATGGTACCCTCCCTAGAGCGGCTGCCCCCTCGGGCCTCCCAAGAGCCCTCAAAGAGCCGAGTAAGGAACCGGGGCCCCGCCCGGGGCAGCAGATCCCCCGCAGTGAAGACATAGAGCACCGGGTTGACGCTGGAACTGAAGAAAGCCAAGGCTGTTGTTCCAGCGCGCGCCGCCTGGCCCGCCCCGCCAAGCCTGGCCAGGGCCCCTTCGGGCGGAGCGAGCGCAGCCACCGCCTGCAAAAGATTGACCGCGTGGTAGGGGGCCCAGAGCAAGCCGAAGGCCAGCACGATGGCGCTCACCAGACGACCCACCCGCGTGCCGTGTCGCCCCGAGCCCCAGCGCGCGCCCCGCAACCGCGCCAGCGTCACGCCGTAGCAGCCGAGGACTGTCCCAAAAGGCAGGACGAAGGCAGTCAGGGTCTCCAGGCTCAGATGAGCAGCGGCGTGCACCGCCGATGGGTGGCACAGTTGACACACGCCATCGCCCCAGAGGTGACGGTAGACGGCGGCCGGGACGGCGAGCACCAGGGCGGCCAGCCAGACCCCCAGCAGCAAGCGACGGGCCAGGGCCGGGCTGCGCAGTCGGGGAGCCAGGAAGGGCCGAGTGACAGCTAGGCAGCGCTGCAGGCTGAGCAGTCCGGTGAGCAGCACGCTGGCGTACATGCTGAGCGCGCACACGTAGTACACCGCCTTGCAGCCCACCTGGCCCAGGGGCCAGGCCCGCCCGCTCAGGAAAGCCACAAAGAGCGGGGTGAGCAGAAGCACCGCGCCGTCGGCCAGCGCCAGGTGCAGCACAAGGGTGGCCGCCAGTGGCCGCCCCGCGGTGGGCCGCCAGCCCGCCAGGCTCCACACTACGAAGCCGTTGCCCGGCAGTCCCAGCAACGCCGCCAGCAGTAGGAAGGCCGTGCCGGTGGCCCGCGAGGCCTTCCAACTCAGCAGCGTCTCATTCCCAGGCGGACGATAGCAGACCGGCATCCTCCGAGAAGGGGGCTGCAAGAATCCACCGGGTGGAGCATTCAAGATTGGGGCAAAGACCCACGTTACCGCTGGTGCTAGATGAGAAGGGACTGTGCCCACCCCACCACCACCCCCAGCTTCTCTGCAGCTTGTCTGTGTCTTCTCTCCAGGAAACCAATTGAAACAACTCCTTAGAACCCGTGGCCCCTGTTCCCAGTCAGCTGTCCTTCCCTGCTCTTGGCATGTTCCCAGAGGCCGCTGCTACTGAAGCACTGGTGTTTCCCAGTCCTCACGGCAGACGGTCTCCGCCTCCACATCTGACCTTCCGGTGTAGCCCCCTCTTTATCCAATCCCATTCTTTATACCTCAGGGGGAAAGGTGGCTGGTGGGGAGTAAAGAGCAGATCTACTTACCTAGCTGGGAGAGAACAGCCTTGGGGGTCGAGGGCGGTTTAGGGAGGCTGACAGGTGAAGCGGCGGTGGATGAGGTATCTAATCCTGCCCCAAGCCTGCCACATTTGCAGAGGATGAGGCGAGAATGAAGAGGGACAAGATGGTGCTCATCCCCGGCCTTTCCTGGGCCCTCCTTCAGCCTACTCCTTCCCATCACTGACAGGCCCAGGCACGTGGAGGCCAGCCTCCCTAGGAAACAGGATAAGGCTGAGGAGGTGCAGGAAGGCACTCGGGCCATGAGGAGAGAAGAGGTCTCTGCTAAAGGCTGCTCGCACATCTCCCCCACCTCTGGCCCCAGCCCTTCCAGCCCACCTTCTGCGATGTTTATGTTCTCTAGCCTCCTTGGCTCGCCCGGCCCGCCCTCAATGGAGAAGGCAACCCAAGCAACCTACTTTCCTAGCTGCTCTCTTTTGGCTGCTTTCAGTCTCCTGTCCCTTTTCTTCGGCTTCAGTCTCGTTTTGAGTCTGTCCGGGTCCCTCCACCCTTCAGCTAGGACTGAGTTGTCTGTGACAACTTTTCAGTGTAAGACATGACACCCCAGTCCTGGGGGGCTAGGCTATACATGTAGGTATAAGGAGCTTACAATCTGTTTGGGGGTGGTCATAGCACAGGGGAGGGAGGGAGCATGTTGAGAGCAGGAAGAGGAGAGCCATTCGGTACATTTCATTTGTACTCCATCGGTAGCTGTCAGAACCCCAAGGCAGAAGTCTAGGGAATGCTTCATTGCTGGAGCCTTGTCCTTAGGTACTAATGCTCCTCTACCTGACCTTCATTAGTGCCTGAAAAGGCCCTGGCTGGGGCTCCAGCCTGCATGAAAAGTGAAGCCGGATAGGTCACAGAGCTGTCCAGGCACTTTGTGTTTCTCAGAACACAGGAAGCTGGGGAACCAGGAGAGTCTAGAAGACTCCCAGGCAGGAAAACAGGGACTGTGCCCACTTAAGGACTTACTAACAGTGAGCCTCAGTTTCTGTGCAACTGCCCATCATGGCTACAACGAAAATCAGAGACGAAGCCTGGGACATCAAAACTAAAGCCCCTGGGCTGAGTAGAGCCTCAGCCGGCAAAGTCCTTGCCATACAAGCATGAGGACCTGAATTCAGTACCCAGAAACCATGTTAAAGGGTTGCATGGTTCGGGGCTGGAGAGATGGCTCAGAGGTTAAGAGCACTGGCTGTTCCTCCAGAGGTCCTGAGTTCAATTCCCAAAAAACCACATGGTGGCTCACAGCCATCTGTAATGAGATCTGGTGCCCTCTTCTGGCCTGCAGGCAGAACACTGTATGCATAATAAATAAGTTTAAAAAAGGGGGGGTGGGTGCATGGTTTGTAATCCTAGTGCTGGCAGATGGAAACAGGTGGATCGCTAGAACTCACTGACCAGCTATCCTAACCAACTTGTTGACCTTCAGGCCTGTGAGAGACCCTGTCTCAAAGAAAAAAACCTCCAGCACCTATATGCATTCTCTCTCTGAGAGAGAGAGAGAGAGAGAGAGAGAGAGAGAGAGAGAGAGAGCGCCAAAGTTCTGATACTCTGATCACTGTGGCAGGGATCATAGGTAGAGAGGATCATGGGTAGAGAGGATCATTAGCGGGGGATCATAGGTGGGGGACCATAGGTGGAGGTACATAATTAGCAAAACAAAAAAGATTAGAGCAGTGTCTGCTCATGGCCACTGAAGCAGGCATTTCTGGAGAATGAAGCCAGAAAAAAAAAGTTGAGCTAATCCTTCTCCAACCGAAGAGGTAAGCAGGAAAGCCAGAGTACCAGAGAGAATCCTGACCATGCTGGTTCTGTAGATCAGAATCCAGCCTCTCCTCACACCATTCCCAGACACACTGCCCCATCTTTCATTTTCTCTGGTTCTCTTGGAATGGTCCCTGCTTCTCCCCCTGCTAAGCTTGCAAGCTTCCCCAGCTAGCCCAGCCTTTTCCAAAAGGTGCAGTTTATAACTTTCCAGTAGGTGGCAGCACAGTCAGCAGGGCTAGCATGGCATGCCCATCTCTGAGACTGGGCCAGAAACTGTTCTAGCATTCAGGGGCTGAGATATGAAGATCGGGGGGAGTTCAAATGGCCAATCTAGACTACAAAGTAAAACTGTATTTGGATAAGGGGGAGGGGAGAATCAAATATCAAATTCTATCCTTCACAACACATCTCTAAAGAGAGACACAAACAAGGTACTTCCACCACCCCACACAGGCTCCTCCTCCTAGACTTTGTTCCTATTACTTATCAGGCAAGGGGGGCAGAGTCCAGGCTTGACTCACCTCTCACTTCGTCAGGGCTGAGACCTCAGCTTTATACAGAAACAAGATTTCAGCCTCAGAACAACAGAGACGCACACAGCCCCAAAGCCACAGGGAGGCAGCTCACTTACTCCATCCCTCTACCATGGAGTACCTTTCAGCCTTGAACCCCAATGGACTGCTGAGGTGATTTCTAACCCTTCTCTTTATACTTCAGTGCTGGGGATATGGGGGGCCGAGGCAAACCTCAGCCTCTAGCAGGCTCACTTCCGGCCTCGACAGACTTCTCCAACTCTTAACTACTCTTTTGTTCTTCTCACAGTCTCTCCTTTGGATCTGTAAACCTAGAACCTCTTAGCCACCCCGCCCCATCATTATCACCAATTTTACCAACCCCCTCCTTGCCCCTTCTGGTGTTTTCTTCCTAACTACCAGGTCAGTATCCACTGTGGGCTCTGAAATTGGCCGTAGGGTCTGGAACTCAGCTCCACCACCTCAGCGACCCTTCCGTGTCTGTGATCACAAGCGGACGGTCCGGAAAGGACTGACAGCTGCCACCCGCCAGGAGCTACTAGATAAGGTAAGTGGTCAGGTTCCTGCAGTAGGGAAGCCAAGGGACTCCAGTCAAGGACGGTGGGATGGCGGAGCAGAAAGTGTGCATATTACACGGTTGCCATCCCTGGGGAAACAGTAGGTAAGAAGGGGTGGAGAACAGGATTCAGAAGTAATCACGGCATTTGTGTTTTCTTGCGCTAGGAATCAGAACTCTAGACAAGGGCTCTGCCACTGGTCTGAGTTCCCAGCCCTTCACTTCTATGAAAAGCCAGTTTCAAATTCTGATTTTGCTACTTCCTAGCTGTCAAGCCTTAGGAAGTCATTCAACCTGTCAAAACCAGTTTTTTGTTTGTCTTTCTATTGAAACAGGCTCTCACTTTTTAGCCCAGGCTGATCTTGAACTCAGAATCCTCCTGCTTCAGCCTTCTAAGTACTAAGACTACAGACACATGCCACAAAACCTAACTTGAAAAATGGTTTCAATGTTGGGCATCAAACCCAGGTCGTTGCACATACTAGGCAAACAATTTACTTCTGAAGCACACCCCAGCCTTCAATTTCTTCATCTACACTAGGAAATAATAAGCTATCTTTTAGGGTTTCTGCAAGGAATAAATGGAAAGTCTTTATAGATATTTTGACAGATATCGGAGAGGGATGCCTCTTGGCTCTGGTCTTCTTGAAGGAATTAATTCAGTCAAGAGACAATTTGAAGCCGGGTGGTGGTAGCGCATGCCTTTAATCCCAGCACTCGGGAGGCAGAAGCAGGTGGATCTCTGTGAGTTCGAGGCCAGCCTGGGCTACAAAATGAGTTCCAGGACAGGCTCCAAAGCTACACATAGAAACCCTGTCTCGAAAAACCAAAAAAAGGCCGGGCGGTGTTGGCGTATACATTTAATCCCAGTACTCGGGAGGCAGAGCCAGGCAGATATCTGTAAGTTCAAGGCCAGCCTGGTCTACAGAGTGAGATCCAGGACAGGTACCAAAACTACACGGAGAAACCCTGTCTCAAAAAACAAAACAAAACAAACAAAAGAATATTATCCCAGTTTTCTCTTGACCCTATGATCTTTAAAAGTTGTGTTTATATAGTTTGCTTTTATATATAAGAACTGTTCCTCTCCTACCTCATCCCAATCTAGCAAAACTCCAATCTAGCTAGTAAAGCTAGGCAGAATACCCCCAGAGACTGGAGTGGGCTGCCCATGGTGGGCAGAGAGATGGCTCAGCAGTTAAAAGCATGTAGTCCTTTTGCAGAGGACCAGAGTTGAGCTTCCAGCACCCACCTGGTGGCTCACAAGCAATGTAACTCCAGCTCCAGAGGATCCAATGCCCCCTTCTGATCTCTATGCACTCACATGCACATATCCACCCACCACACACACAATTTAAAAAATATATAAAAATAATTTGTTAAAGGAAGGTGTGTCAACCCACACAGTAAGTAAGTCTTTAGAAGATTCAGACCCTTTGTTAGTGTGCACATGCTGGTGGAAACCCTGGTGCTCTAGTTCCTGGTGTGGGGGAAACTACCTAAGTATGTCTTCAAAGATGTTTAACCACCATCACCAGAAGGCACCGCTAAGATGTGGCTGTAGCTTTTTTGTTTTGTTTTGTTTTGTTTTCAAGACAGGGTTTCTCTGTGTAGTTTTGGTGCCTGTCCTGGATCTCACTCTGTAGACCAGGCTGGCCTCGAACTTACAGAGATCCGCCGGGCCCAGCCTCCCGAGTCCTGGGATTAAAGGCGTGTGCCACCGCCGCCCAGCGGCTGTAGCTTTCTTTGGTTCCCTCCTGTCCAGGAGGTGATCTAGAGTAACCTGATTCCTAGGATAGGTGGAGGCTTTCTCAGAAGCTATCCTTAAAACTGAGTCGGTTGCAGTCAGCATTAGAATGAGTCAAAGGGAACAGCACCTGTGTGTGCTCCTCAAGAGGGCCTCACAGGAGCCACTCAGAGCCCTACCCTTCCTGGTCACCTTGACTATCTTATGCCAGCTGAAGCCCTTTTATTTCTTATCACTATTACTCCTAACCTAGTTCAACCCTAACATTTCTTTTAACACTCGCAAGTTTTCACTTGGCCTTAGAATGGTTAAACAGTGCTAACATTGAAAACAGTTGTAGAGCAGGGTGGTGTTAGTGCACACCTTTAATCCCAGCACTTGGGAGGCAGAGGCAGACGGATCTTTGTGAGTTCAAGGCTAGCCGGGTATACAGAGTGAGTTCCAAGACAGCAATAGCTACACAGAGAAACTCTGTCCCAGAAAACTGAAAAACAAAAACAAAAACAAACAAACCAAAAACACCGTGTAGAGAACAGGAAGGACGACACGGGAGGACACTGTAGATACGAGAACACAGATAAGCTAGATTTCATCTGTTTAGATTTCGTTTTCTTTTCCCTTTTTTTTTTTTTTTTTTTTTTGGTTTTTCGAGACAGGGTTTCTCTGTGTAGCTTTGCGCCTTTCCTGTTACTTGCTTTGTAGACCAGGCTGGCCTCGAACTCACAGAGATCCGCCTGGCTCTGCCTCCCAAATGCTGGGATTAAAGGCGTGCGCTGCTGCTGCTGCTGCTGCTGCTGCTGCTGCTGCTGCTGCCGCCGCCGCCGCCGCCGCCGCCGCCGCCGCCGCCGCCGCCGCCGCCGCCACCACCACCACCACCACCCGGCAAATTTAAGGCCTAGAGGTATATATTTTATCACCACAAAAGGTTTTATTCAGTTTTGGAGGGTTAAAGTCTAGGTAACACGATGTGGGTCTCCTTGGTGAGTCATCACCTGGATGGGTGAAACCATGGAAGGAGCATGCACCCAAGAGCAGCCACAGGTCGATGAGGAATTCAGAGACCAGGCTCACTCTTTTATAACACGTTTCTTTCTTTTTTTTCTTTTTTTTTTTTGGTTTTTCAAGACAGGGTTTCTCTGTGTAGTTTTGGTGCCTGTCCTGGATCTTGCTCTGTAGACCAGGCTGGCTCTGCCTCCCGAATGCTGCGATTAAATGTGTTTGCCACTACCGCTCGGCTTATAACACATTTCTCTCTTTTTTTTTTTTTTTCATTTTTATTTTTTCTATTATCAGCCTGATAATGTACAAATTCTTATCCTAATAGTGAAATGTTTCACGGAAGCTTGCCCAGTAATTGAGTAAAACCAAAACTTATTATAAGCCACAGTCATCCTAGGGTCCCCCTGCTATATAGCCTCCCTGGTTCTGTGGGTTGTAGTCTGATTGTTCTTTGCTTTATATCTAGAATCCACTTATGAGTAAGGACATACCATGTTTGTCCTTCTGGGTTTGGGCTACCTCACTCAGGATGATATTTTCTAGCTCCATCCATTTGCCTCTAACTTTCATGCTGTTGTATTTCTCTGCTGAATAGTACTCCATTGTGTATATGTACCACATTTTATTAATCCATTCTTCAGTTGACGGGCATCCAGGTTGTTTCCAGGTTCTGGCTATTACGAATAGTGCTGCTATGAACATAGTTGAGGCATGTATCTTTGTGGTATGATTGAGCTTTCCTTGGGTATATGCCCAAGAGTGGTATGGCTGGGTCTTGAGGAAGATTGATTCCCAATTTTCTGAGAAACTGCCATACTGATTTCCACAGTGGTTGTACAAGTTTGCACTCCCACCAACAGTGGAGGAGTGTTCCCTTTGCTCCACATCCTCTCCAACATAGACTGTCATTGGTGTTTTTGATCATTGCCATTCTGACAGGTGTAAGGTGGTATCTCAGAGTCGTTTTGATTTGCATTTCTCTGATGATTAAGGATGTTGAGCATTTCTTCAAATGTCTTTCAGCCATTTGAGATTCTTCTTTTGAGAATTCTCTGTTTAGCTCTTTAGCGCATTTTTTAATTGGATTGTTCAGTATTTTAATGTCTAGTTTCTTGAGTTCTTTATATACTTTGGAGATCAGTCCTCGGTCAGATGTGGGGTTGGTGAAAGTCTTTTCCCATTCTGTAGGCTGTCTTTTTGTCTTATTGACCATGTCTTTTGCCCTACAAAAGCTTTTTTTAATTTATTTTATGTGCATTGATGTGAAGGTGTCAGATCCCCTGGAACTAGAGTTATGACAGTTGTGAGCTGCCACGTGGGTGCTGGGAATTGAACCCAGGTCCTCTGGAAGAGCAGCCTGTGCTCTTAACCACTGAGCTATCTCTCCAGCCCTTCGTTTTATTTTATCCATATTTGGAGTCAGGGTCCAAAACTGTTGAAGTCTGGTATTAAACTTCTTGGCTCCAGTAGTCCTCCTGCCTCTGCCTCCTGAGCAGCTAGGACCGTGGGTATAACCACACCTGGCTATGATTGATTTGCCATTCAGTACCACTGGGAGTGGCTTAGAGGGGAGCAAGGGTAGGTGAACAGAAGCAAAATGAAAAAAAGGTCTGCCTCTGGTAAAGGTCTGTTAACAACTCAAAAAACCCAAACAAGAACTGCCATGTTTACGAAGGATGAGATGAAATGCTCACATCTACAATCCCAGGACCCAGGAGGCTAGCACAGAATTGCTGAGTTTGGGAACATGCTGAACTCCACAAATACCCTGTCTCAAAATAGTATACAGGGAAGCAGAGCTGAGACACCAACCAGTGTCCAGGGCCGGTGGGCCAACTAAAGAGATGAGGGGCATAAGCTAACAGCCGCCCTCCCTCCTGCCACTGGTCACGAACAGGTACTGGAGACCCTGCTGTTAAGTGGAGTGCTAACGCTGGTACTGGAGGAGGATGGGACCGCTGTGGAGAGTGAGGACTTCTTCCAGATGCTCGAGGATGACACATGTCTGATGGTGCTAGAGCGAGGACAGAGCTGGAGTCCCAGGGTGAGGCCCACAGTGGACTGTTGAGGTCACCAATCCTCTTCCCTAGCCTATCACTGATCTTGGGGGCTGAGGTACCTGGGAGGCAAAAGGGACCTGATCCAGCACCAACAGGATTAGCAGATTTCAGGGTATGAAGGTTCACTTCAGTAATGGGATGTCCCACAGAGTGGGATGTTGTCATACGGCCTAGGACGGGAGAAGCCAAAACATAGCAAGGACATCGCCCGAATCACCTTTGATGTGTACAAGCAAAATCCTCGAGACCTCTTCGGCAGCCTCAACGTCAAAGCTACATTCTACGGGCTCTATTCCATGAGCTGTGATTTTCAAGGAGTTGGACCCAAAAAAGTGCTCAGGTCAGAAATCAACATGTCACACATCCCTATAGTTGGAGCGTCCCTCAAGTTCAATCAAGTCCCACCTCTTGTACCCCAGTATCCCATAAGTTCTCCTTTGTGAACCCCACCCCCACCCCAAGCTTTCAAACTCAAGGCCTCCCCTCAGAGTCCCTTAACCATTTGGTTTCCTCTCACTCCTGCCCTTCAGGGAGCTCCTCCGTTGGACTTCCTCACTGCTGCAAGGCCTGGGTCATATGCTGCTGGGAATTTCATCTACCCTTCGCCACGTGGTGGAGGGTGCTGAGCGGTGGCAGTGGCACAAGCAGAGTCACCTCCGTTCATAATGAAAAAGTGACTGGAGCCGGTGTCCCGAGACCGGTCCCATGAGACACATGAGAGCTATATGGCATCATCAGATTTGGGGTCTGCAGTGTACCTTAGGTAACTCACCTGACTCCATCGTGACAGAACCTCTCAGCACACTGCCTTGGTCCTGTAGCCTGCACATTCCTGAAGAATGCTGCCTATCTTACCTCCATCTCCTGCCTTCTACTTATGCTGCAGAACCACAACCTTGTCCCCTGGCATGCTGATCCCACCATAACTGCTGCATCTAGGTTCTTACTGATCCCTATCCCTAAGACCCTGCACACCAATGACACAGTCCCTAGGTTCTTACTAATCCCTATCCCTAAGACCCTGCACACCAATGACACTGTCCCTAGGTTCTTACTGATCCCTATCCCTAAGACCCTGCACACCAATGACACAGTCCCTAGGTTCTTACTGATCCCTATCCCTAAGACCCTGCACACCAATGACACAGTCCCTAGGTTCTTACTGATCCCTATCCCTAAGACCCTGCACACCAATGACACAGTCCCTAGGTTCTTACTGATTCCTATCCCGAAGACCCTGTACAATAATGACACAGTCTCTAGCTTTACCTTGAGCTACCTTTCCCCGGAAAATAAAAATATTACAAAGAAAAATACAAAAATGTTTACCAGTATGCCTGGGGAAAGAGGGGGTGTTGGTACAGACAGATGGACATAGGGATAAACAGGATCTGGCTGCCATAGCCCAGGCTAGCCTTGAATTCTTGGTTGTTTTTGGTTGTTTGTTTGTTTTTGTTTTTTGCCTTGTTGGCACACCTTTAATCCCAGTGAATTCTTGATATTCTTGTTTCAATTTTCTGAGTGCCAGCTTACAGTTTTGTTTATGTTACTACAGTTTTTTGTGTTGCTACATCTGCTCCAATAAGACTGGTGACTCCGATTCAAAGTAGGAAGGACAAGCATGTCCTGTCCCCCCCATCGACACTATTCCCAAGCTGTGAGGTCTCAGTCTTCAAGTATAGAGTTCAATACCCGTCTCCGCTTGGCCACAGCACTCTGCTGCTCTTCCCAAGTCTCTCGCCGCTTCAAGAAGGTAGTCAGGGCCACATTTCGGGCCACATGGTGGCCAAAAGCATCCTGAATCAACGCCTGGTTCTGCTCTCCTGCAAAGAGAACTACTTGTGTTTATCATCACCCATGCTCAAAAACAAATTCTACTTGAAGTGAAGGCCCCTCCATTTCCCTCCAACCCTGGACTTGAAATGTACACTCTTGTGGGACATTTGTACACTGTGTGAAGATGTATTGCTGACTGGTTTAATAAAGAGCTGAACAGCCAATAACTAGACAGGAGGTATAGGTGGGACTTCTGGGCAGAGAGAGAAGTAGGAGATGAATCTAGGTTTGAGAGAGATGTGAGGAGACATGGAGGAAAGCCGGATGGGCAGTATGGGACAGAACATAGATTAGTAAAAATGGGTTAATTTAAGTTATGACAGAACATAGATTAGTAAAAATGGGTTAATTTAAGTTATAAGAGCTAGTTAAAAACAAGCCTAAGCTAAGGTCAAGCTTTCATAATTAGTAAGTCTCAGGTGTCACTATTTGTAAACTGGTGGCCCCTCCAAAAAATCCAACTACAAAACACCTCACCCATTAAAAGCCAGATAAAGGGTTAATGGTAGATAAAGAACTGCACAAGTCTGCAGAGAGGAGGCAAAAGCAGACCCCTGAGACCTCAGAACCAGACCATCCTTCTGATATCTGCTGAACTAATCCGCTACTGGGTGCAGGAAAAGGCAGAGTTTGGAAACATCACCCAGGGGCAGTGGTACTCACCCAACTCAGCAGCAATTTCCTTCCGAGCCCCCAAAGCTGCTCCACTCCAGATGGCATCTAACACACGGCTGCCATGGCGGCTACAGGCAAGAGCCACATACTGCCCCTGCATTGAGACAGCAAGTCAAGTCCCTCAGAGAGGAACGCAACTGGGTTTTGGGGGTGGAGGGATAATTTCAGAAGGTTGGAGGCACGGTTCAACCAGCACAGGAACTACGCATGTGCCCTGCCTCCAGCTCCCGGGTCCAGCCCTGAATGAAGCCCATTTTCTCTAAAGCAGTGACGGAGGGACCAGGGCACAAGTCTAACCTTTAGGGTCTTCAGCACACGACGACGCTGCTTGTGTGTCACAGAGGGGCTAGTCAGGACGGCATCAAATACGTGAGAGCCAGCAGGGCTTTGGGCCAGAGCCAGGAGCTGAGGTCCTGTCAAGGCACTCAGACTCCGGAGTACAAGTCCAGGGTTGGAGAAATACAACAAGTGCTGGAGCAGTAGAGACCCAAGCACTGTCACTTCCCTCAGCGCTCTGGCTGTGGCCATTTCTACCTGGGAGGACAGTAATAAGAAATGAGGAGGCCGTGACCAGGCCAGATGGATGAGCTCGACCCTAGGGTATTGCCACCTTCTCTTCAAAAAGCTTAGAAATCTCATCAACTTAACCCAAGGGGCTAGTCAAGCATTGAGAAGCCTGGCCCCTCCCACCTTACCTGATGCTCTGCAGGCACCGCCCCCTCCTCCTCCTCCTCCTCCTCCTCCTCCGTCAGTTCATAGTATACCTCATAAGCCAACAAAGAGGCAAAGAGAGGCACACAAGCTACTTGCCGGGATGAGGGCTCTGCACAGTGGAACGCCTAGACAGCAAGACAAAACATAAAGACTCTCGAGAACTAGCCCATCCCCAACACAAAGGTTTTCTAGACAGAATGTTCAAGAAAAGGGAGGTCTAACTCAACAGCAAAGGACACTGAGGGAGAGCAGAATCTCATCAGCCTTGTTCTGTCTCCAACCTCTACACTTGTAGGGACTGAATCCACATTTACCTCTCCAAGTTCTCTAAGTTCTGGAGAATCAATTGCACTTCAGGGCTGTTCTTTGACTCATCTGTCTCTATATCTATAACTCCCTTAACATTAAACCTCTCACATCCACATTAGACAAATTCTAACTAGCAGAATTAGATCAAGGAAGGGCATGGATAGGTTGCAAGTAACACCCCCTCACCTCCATTAACAGCTGCAAGACCTGGGCTTGGTGAGTCCCAACCCTGCGGCAGGCTTCCACCAGAGCGACAACTACCCCTGGGTGGCCCTGGGCCAGCACAGCTTCCAAGGCAGGGCTCAGCTCCTCAAACACAAGGGACAGCTGAGAGGAAACATGGATTGAAGAATCTTTGACATTCAATTCATGGTTACTGACTAAGTTAATTAGAACATTTTTCCTACTAAAAAAAAAGCTAGATAAGACATAAAAACCATTGCCAACATCAGAACTTTCACTGTGCTGTGTAAAACCCAGAAGAGAAGTCATAGATGTGTTACCCTATGGGGGAAGATTTTAAATGTCCCTTCTGCAGAAGTCAAGGAGAACCAAGGGCAAAGCAAGTCTAGAATTAAACCTGCCATTCTACTCCATGTGTCAACCCAGGGGACCACAGGATACGCTCCATCCCCGACCCCCATCGTAGACAACAAGGGAAAAGAGAAGCTAAGCAATGGCTTCGGGGCCCCTGTGGATTAATAGACAAGAAGCCACAGAACTTCTAGCTGTAAAATTGAACTAAGAGGACAGGCAATCAGACCTGAGAAGCTAAAACAAATCTCTAGGAGAAGGGCACCTCCACCCTAATTTCTGGAAAAGTCCTGAGAATAACTTCACATGAGCAATGGGCAGTAAATTGTCAGAGAAGCACAGAGACAAGCACTCATTAAAATAAGACCCAAAAGCTGGTTAGTGGTGATGCACGCCTTTAATCTCAGCACTCAGGAGACAGGCAGGCAGATCTCTGTGAATTTAAGGCCAGCATGGTTTACAGAGCAAGTTCTAGGATAGCCAGGGCTACATACAGAGAAACCCTAACCCGAAAAACCAAATAAATATGTAAATAAGTAAATCAATCAATCAATAAGGCCCAATGGTTAAGGATAGCAGAAAGAGACCAGGCCACATTTCCAACTCACCAGCTCAGGGGAAGTGACTGCATCCAGTAAGCGCTGCAAAGGGAAGTTAGCAATGGGGTGTGCAGCCAAGGAGGGCAGCTGGCCCTGGAAGTGGTCCTCAAAGAGGCGCTGGAGCCTCACGGGCTCTAACACCAGCAGCACCTGCTCCAGGAGTCTGGAGCTCGTCTGATCCCGAAGAAACAGGAGTAGAGGGCTGGAGGTGAGAAGAGCGAGACTGGGCTGGAGAGATAGCTCACTGCTTAAGAGTATCACTGTCCCTGCAGAGGGCCTGGATCAAGAGGCCCTCTCTGCACGCCACTGGCTCCTGCACAAATGTGGTACATGTACATACACACAGGCAAAACGCTCATACAAATAAAGTATTGTTGAAAAAGCTGGCCTTGGTGGTGCGCATCTTTAATCTTAGCATTCAAGAGGCAGAAGCAGGTGAGTTCAAGGCCAGCCTGGCCTAGATAGTGAGTTCCCAGCCAGCTGGGGCTACAAAGTGAGACTGTGTCACACATAGATGAAGAAGGGGACTGGGGCCTGAGAGCTGGCTCAGTGGTTAAGAGCACGCACTGCTCTTGCAGAGGACCCAAGAAGTTCAGTTCCCAGCACCCACAAGGCAGCTTATAACTATCCCCAACTCCAGTTCCAGAGGTTCTGACACCCTCTTCCAGGCTCTGAGGGCCCTGCACACATGTAGTGTACATATATACATGTAGGCACAACTTCAAAAATATAAAATAAAAATAAATCTTAAAATAAAACTAAGTCAGGTATAGGTAATACAGGCCTTTAATCCCAATACCTGGGATACAGAGGCAGGAGGATCTCTGTGAGTTTGAGGCCAGCAGGAGTGAGACTGTGCCTCTCAGGTGCTTGGGATTAAATTCATGCATCACTGCCCAGCAATAAATATTAATAAGATCAAAGAGTCTAAACTTCATCCAGAAATACAGCTACACTAACTACATCATCTCATTCATCACACATGACATTCCCAGCTTTGGTTACTCCTGAAGACTTGATCATACCTGCCACCTGCTGAAGAATTCCGAGAACTCAGGTAATCAATTACAGCATCACAGAGATGGGCACAATGCTGAGGTAATCTGTGGTGTAAGATCTGTAAGGCCACTTGAAGACAAAAGCTGGAGATCTTGTCAGTGATAAATACTGTAGGAAAAGGCAGAGATAATTTAATAGCTTATTCCAAGCCCAGATTACCTGTACAATCCCCAAAACGCAAGTAACAAGGGGTCTACACACATGACAATGTCTATACAGAATGCTTTGTAGCATTAAAGCAGAAGGTGTTACAGAGGAATGACCTGATACAAGGGTCCTGCTTGGGAAACCCCCAGAGAAGATCCGAGTCCCTCTCCTCCTTCCCTGCTGTGATGCTAACCTTGACTGTCCACTTGATGGGATATAAAATCACTAAGAAAACCAACCTCTGGGCATGTCTGTGAGTTTCTAGAGTAGGTTAACACAGGTGGGAAGAACGTCCCTAAATGTGGGTGGCACTAGC